ACATGGCGGTAAAGAGACGCCATAGCTTCTTGAAGGGTCGTTATTCGGTATCTGATGGTCCAAGTAGCTGGCTGCCTCTAACTCCGTCGTTTGTTCCAGCTGTTTATCTTTTCTCACATCTCTTCTAAGTGTTATATTGTCATACAAGCTTGGTGATTCCTCCTGATAATTTCAATCCTCATCTATGAACCTCCTCCTATCATACAGTGTAGCTTCCACGTAGTACACATTTCTTCATGAATTTTAACACAATACACAGATGACAAGATTGTTTAAGTAACAAGCACTTTAAGTAACCTTATGAATTGCTCTTGGCGGTATAGAGTGCTGGCTTGGGGATATGTAGGTTGTAAATACCACGAGTGGGCCGTAGGTAGTGGTCAGATCGACTGACAGGGCATTCTCTTCATGTAGGTAGATGTTGGGAATAATATTGAGATGATGTTCAAGATATGGTAGATAATATTAACTTTTTTTATTAATGCGTAAGGTACATCTGGATTGGTGCAGCTACCCTAGACTATATGAAGTGGAGTACAGAGTGTTAAAAAAGCTAACTAGGTGATGCTAAAAAATCCCCATTACACAGGATGGTTAGTCATACAGAGGCATGTGATGGGCAGTCTGCACTGGCAGACTCCGGATGCATTTTGAGGATATCATCAACACAAGAGTGAATAAGGTAGCAGTGGTAATAAAAATTCCCATCTCGCAGGATGGTTAGTCATACAGGGCCATATGTTTAGTAGCCTGCACTGCCAAATTTTGGGTGCAATATGAGGATATCCTCAAGAATACGAGAGTGAATAAAGTAATTGCAAAGCTCCAGGTACCTCATGCCAACTGGTCTGAAAGGTCTAATGACTGGGCATTTGGTGATGTAGTGTGAGAGATCATGCCGCAGTTCCTGCTCACAGAGTTTGCACCTGGGGTGCTCAGGATTGGGAGATCCGTCACCTGTAGCCACCTGCCACAGGTAACGGTAACCCAACCTGATCCTTGCAACCACTGTGTCGCACAGTCTGGTGAACGTTTTGTGCTGCCCATAGATATAGGTTTCAGATCCGAACAAATCATAGCTTTCAATACTAGTACTTTCAGGTCGTTGGGAGTCAGTAATATCTTACCTATCAGACCTGAATGTTTGAACCAATACAGTTTTGACAGTAGAGACGGGGATACCTAGATCTAATTCAACTTCATCTTTGTTGCACGCTAATTTGGCTGCAATGTCTGTCTCATTATGATGGGTTATAATATTAACAAAATTCAACATTGTTTTAGCACAAAATAAAAAAAAAACTAGGCTACAGTACAGAATAAAGTAAAAAAAAAAAAAGTCAATTTCAACACTTTCCATTTTCATTATGTATTCAAGACAAGCCAGCCACTACTGACACAATATTCTTTTGTCCTTTCTTTTACGTTTCCCCAGACTTTAAACGAGACAATTGTATTTCGAATGTGCGCCGCTGCGTGTAATTCGTGTTTTGCATTATTGAAGATATCGTACGACACAATTTTATTATGTGAATTAAACAAATTCATTTTCCCCTCTTTAAATAATGCACCTTTCAATGCATATCAGTTATTATATTTTGTCGATTCAGCCAATTTTTTTGGTCTCGCAGCGAATTATTTTCGTTGACTTGCAACGTTTAACCGTCTAAAAATGTTCGAGTTAAAACTATATACTTCAAGTAAAGAAGTTCATAAAGGTGGCCATACCAAAACTTTTAGAAACATGCTAGGCATAATTGAGTTTGGCAATTCCTAGATATCTTATCAATTTTACCATGTCAGGAATTACAATTTCTTAAAAGAATAATGCATTTTCCAATAATTTTCCCTGAAAAAATTAATAAATTTGCTGTTTCCAGTTCTGTTGTATGAATTTTACCATTATCCGCTCAAGAAAGACGAGCCACCAGAGACGCTACTGCATAAATGATTACTATCTTGTATTCTGACGACTAGAATCCCGTGAAATTTTCTAAGACAAAATCTCGAAATTATTGGAATTTGATGAGAAATTTTTGAGGTTGCAAGTGCTGCTAAATTTTCACTCAATAAATGATAGAGAAAAAAGGTTTCCTAGTGCCTGGTATTTCCTGCAACAATGTTAATTATTTCTCCCGAGCAATCCTCGGAGATAAAATTTTATCCATTATTGTTTTTATTTGATTACAATTACATAGGCTAGCTAGCGATCGTCAAGTCCAATATGTTTTAGACAAAGCACATATAACGATAATTAAAGCACTTTTTGAAGTTTTGAGTTCAACGAAGATTAAAGTATTCGTCTAACTGTGCTTGAAGAACTTCAGCTCTTTGGTCCCGCCTCTAAATCTTCAATCGACAGATACCGGTTCCCGAAGCTATTTACTTCTGTTCTATCTACATTTGAAGCTCTGTGTAGTCTATACCAACCAGTAACGGACCTACAATTTGTGAGGCCCTGAAACTTGAACCGTTACGGGGGACCCCCTTCGCAACCAGGGCTGAGTAACTAATGTTAACTTCTTCAGTGGGATTGCTTCAAGACAAATCACTATACTTTTTATTTAACCACTACATCTCAGATTTTGATTAAATCTGAGATATGAACCCAATATTTTTAACCAATGTGAATAAAATCGGCTTCTGAAGCCCTTCCTGAAGCTTAAGCTTCGTTAGTTTCATAGTAGATCCGCCCTTGCTCAGCGCAATCCATTTGCCCACTACTCTGATACTGAAAACAATTATTAAAGTGAACCACAAAGGCATTAATAATTAGTTTTCACCTCTGTTCCCTTGTTAGTGTACCACACTAACTCAGTATGATTCCCCCCCCCCCTGTAACAAACTAGGCTGTTGTAAGAATTATCCAGAGGGGTTTATCGACAAAAGAGAATGGGAAGCTGAGCCGCATGGTGACCTGACCCCCAGGGGAATTCGCGGTGGAAATAACCGACGCTTTGTTCATATCTGCGTATAATGAATCATCCTATAGTATTCAGTAATTTAGAGAAAATTAGCCTTTATTCATTTTTATTAAAATTGTATTGTATAATAGTACTGGATACAATATCAAGAGTATTCTAATTATTGAGTTTAAGTCACCATCAGTGACGTCACGAATCAGATCTAACTTTTAAAGCGGAGTGACCGGCGGTCATAGGTCATCAGGGGTTGACAGGTCTACTATTTCTCAAAGTTTTAATAACCATTTTTGTGATCGGGAACAGCTCTGCCGTTAGAGGCTTGTGTAATTTATTTCAGTAAAATAATTCAACCAGTCTGGATCAATTAAGTACAACAGAGGTTAATTGTTATAACTTAAACCTGGCTAGTAACTTGGTAAAACTTTGACTAGGCGGAAGGATACAAGGTTCTAGTCTGGGCTAGGCCAGACGAGGACAAGTCAGTGTGGAAACGGGAGCAGCTGGGATAAGAGGTCAAACATCTTACCTCTCCCCAAGACCAGCCAAAACATCTAGCTGGTCGCCCAAGGTATAGTTGCTATTGTTAATTATAGAAATAGTCTTCTCATTTGCCACTCAGGTCAAGTAGGGAGTGTTAAAGTGATAGGGAGTGAACACATTTAGATTTTGTTTTAGTTTTCTTTTAATAAATTAAATTTGTTATTAATTTGCATTTTATTGTTTCCATGTGTTTTATGTGTATACTTGTCCTGGTCACGTGGTCCACACGAGGCAGAGTTGCATTGGGCGCCGATTCTAACATCGAATCGGAATTATCATTACCGTGTAATTTATTCCACACTCAAGGTCATCGTTTATAGTGGGGATCAAGCCCCTAGGTTGATTAATTAGCGTGATCGATCCAGACCTCGATCATTGCTCTTGTATTACTGGTCTGGTGGTGGCAGCAGAGGTGACTCTAGGGTTTTGTTCAGAGCTTAGGTCACGTCATACTGGGTGTAGAATCCTAAGTCGGTCAATCGTCTTAGGACCACGTGGCGTGGAGTTGGCTTTGTTAAAAGTTTTGGAGTCCCTTGGTTTAGAAATAAAAGTAAGAATACGGGTAGAGGGAGTAGAAAGAAGGAAGTAAAGAGAGAGGAACCCTAACCTGTGTTACACCCCCCCCCCCCCAAAAAAAAAGAGGCATCCATCTTTGCCCGTCTAACTTTGACGTGTTTATACATGTCCAAGTCAGACGGGCAAAAATGGATGCCTCTTCTTTTTTGGGGGGTTAGTGTGGTACACTATAAATTGATCTATCAAAATGCGTATTCACATCTAATTCTGAATGTCCATTTAAGCAAGTACTCTACCTCAAATTTGAATACGAGCCTCAAGGCATGACAAAATGATACTCAAGAGTTGAGAGTAAAAGTAAACTGTGTATATAGCGAGAAGCGTTTCGATGTATTCATGTAGTCTGACCTACAAATATAAACTAGAAAAGATGGTTACTATATTTCAGTTTTCATCGGTCAATACTGAAATATATCAGTCTTGTTCGAAATTTTCAGAAATGTCAAACATAACTTATATACTCATATGCAAAAGAAAATTTGCAACGGTATATCAGCTTTAATGAAAGTGGTTGTGTTTTACCAATTTGCAGTAAAATAACAAATTATTAGGGGTTACCGCTATCATCTATAATACGTATGCTGAATTGACATACTGCTGACAGATGGGGACGCAACGAAACTTGTTGAATCTCGCACCGAGAACTATGTCTCAACATCTTTGATTTTATTTATTAAAAAAAAAGACGGTCTGTGGAGCTTTTTAACTCAACCTGTTATATTGCCATGTTGTATTATCATATCGATTTATCACGATAATTACTTAAAACTCAGATTTATATTTTCCCTTCTCTGAAGTTATGCTCTGCTAAGTTGGTAACTTTGCATTTCCAATAAGTTATTCTAAAAAAATATTACAAACAGAAATCCTCGCCTCACTTACGTTTATGTTACCGTTTACCAATACATGTGTTACTTTGATACCTAACATTTGTCTGAGCGGCTTGCTTTACATCGACAGGCATCACCCGGCTGCCCATCTTGGAGGGGGAGATCTCGCACATCGAGATCCCAAGAGGACCAACAACTCTAGGCATCACTATAGTAGGCGGCGCCGACACTCCTCTAGTGAGTAGCCCCTCCTCTTTTACTTTAATCTCCTTTGTATTCTTCTGTTTCTTCGCTTGCTTTTGACATACAATTTCAATTTTAGGAAATGTAGATGTTTATCTCTCAGAATGTTTGGTAATATGTTTATTGTTTGTGATGTGTTTATATGTATGTATTAACACGATGTACTGAACGGGGTGATAATAGCTTGAGCTACCTCATCCCTTTGTGTGTATTTTACCTCAATAAACTTATTTCAATTTCAATTTCAATTTAATTAAAATAAAATTTTAAGTACGATTATGTTATAATTTAATTTTTTTTTAGCCTACTTAGTTTTTAATTGTTAAAGAGATCAGGTCCCACAGAGTTGTAGTTGATAACAAAAGCAGAATGTATATAATTGTGAAACTGTCTGGTCCTGACATAAATCAAATGCGTAACATATGGAAATGTCACCTCCAACTTCAGCAAGGCAGAAAAAGTTCAGCAGAAATCTAAGCAAATCACCCGTATTCATCATCACCACTATAAGAATAGAAGAATATAATATAATAGAATCATCACTATTCTCACAAATTTGTAAGCTCGCGTAGAGAATCTTAATGGAGGAAACCATTCACCACCTCACAGTGCACAATCAAGCAAAATCAACACAACATGGTTTTGTAAAAATCAAAGCCTACCTACGTTTTTGGAAACGGTAACCAACCACACACATAAAAGGACTTCCAGTAGATAGTCTCTGTGAAATTTTCTAAACTTTTGATAACAAAGCACCCACGAAATATTCGCAGAAATTGAAAGCATTTGGAATAAACGGCAGGATACTAAAAATTAATAAAACAGTGGGTAAAGCAAAACAAAAAAAAGCACGGGGTCAATAGAACATACAGTATCTACTTTGGAAAGGATGAACGCAGAGCCACAAAAAATTATCACAGGAAAGGTTGAGGGACCCAGGCGTAACACTTGACACCGGACCTGACAGGGCTGATCTCATCGAGAACCTGATCAAATTGAAAGATCCAGAACAAATACTTAATACGGAATACTTTAAATGTCCAATGTAACTCATACAAGGGGCAACAACCTCGAAGGCGCAATATAGGATTGATGACAGGGGATGCTATAACACCCATATGGTAGTAAACCCATGTAATCGTCCACAAGCCGAAACTATCAATGCCTAGATAATACTGGAGTTAAAAATTAATTTGGACAATTTTTTCAGGAACAGTAGGGGTGACCTTTGACGAGCCGTCGGCTTCCTGTCCTAGTCGAGACCATTAGACATTGTAGCCTCTTAGGCAAATTCAATGAAAATATGTTCTTTTTCTCACATTTGTAATTTATGCAACTGCTAGACACATGTGCATGCAGTTTTACATTGTTTCTTCGGTAACTTGAACATTGCCTATACTTACTGTATGAATATTTTCCATGTTTTTTGTCTATGAAAAACAACAGGTCAACATAATCGCGTGATTAGGATAAGCTATACAGTGAGGTTGTAATGTATGTACCACCAAATAATTGTAATACATGTACATGTATTACAATTAGTACAATCCGCATGTACCCCCAAATAATTGTAATACATCTTCATGTCGTTATGTATGCTATGAATTATTTAGTTATTTAGCACAATACAAGCATTAATGTACCAGCCCCTCCTGTCGAGTTGCCGCCACGGACAGAAAATATTGTACCAAAACACCCGAATCTAATCAAACCTTACCAAGCGACCCACGCATAGAAAAGATGAAATGTGTGTATTTTGAATGTGGTGTAAAATATAAATCATATTTTGTCCGTTGAGGATTTTAACATCAAAATGCGATGTGTTTTTCGAGCTTGTGCCCCCTCACAAACATTTAGGTTTCTATTAATAGGTCGCTCGGTTAGGTTAGATTAGGTCCGGGTGTTTCAATACATTTTCTGTCCCTTGCTGCAGCTCGAGACGACAGGCTGTATAAAAGAAAAAAATACTTTTACTTTTTATGTATATGTACTTTCTTTCCATATACAATGAAAGTGATTCACAATATATTGTTTTTCGTTTCACGTTATATCCCAACTTGCGTGTGATTTCACGCTACTTATACGTGTTCACGTTCTCAACTAAAATTATAGCATTTTAAAGAGCGAAATGAATACACAAAATTATCACAAATAAATCCGAAGTAAATGCAAACCGATTCTAACTAGTTTACCACAAATTTAAAATATTATTTGAATTACTTTGCCCAAAGAACATCGGGGTCTAGTTCATGAACCCATTATGTGATTAACCTACTCTTCCCCCCCCCAACCGCACATAGGATGGGTTCGATAACAAACTAATTCAATTGCCTACATGATTATTCTTAACCGGCTATGAATATCTACAGCGATGTGTGGTGGTGCAGGAGGTGTTCCCAGACGGGTTGGTGGCCCAAGATGGCCGCCTGCAGCCTGGCGACCAGATCATCGAGGTGGACGGTGTAGACATGACGTCAGCCACTCACCAGGTGGTGTGTCAGGCTCTGAGGCGTCCCCAGACGGTGCTCAGGCTCGGTGTCTATAGGGAAAGGATTGAGGCTTACCGAGCAGCCTCGCCTCAGTCAACAAGTGCTCCACCGCATCATCAAGGTATACATTAAACCATTTTAGCCAGCAAAAGTAGCCTTTGATTCATTACAAATCTTAAACAATACTTATCAGCCCAATACTGTGTAACTTATTACTTCCCCCATCTTTAGTATAATTACTTCTTACACTACTTCTGAATGAGAATTTGTTCTAAAACTTTTTTACAATTAGCCGGTTATAAAAAAAACTGAGGGTAGAGTATTGCAAATCTGAACTGAAACTGTGTTGACAGGAATTTTAATACTAATATAAAAAAGAACAGATAGTGAAATCTGTTATCTTGTCAGCGTTCAAATTAGCCATTGAGATAGCTATAGCGGTTACCATCGACTCACGCGCCGTCTTGGATTTTATCACCCTTTGATATAAAACACTATTTTGCCGATATGATAAAAACTTACTCGCGTTACAATGAAATATTTGTGGAGAGGAGTTTCAAAATATATTGTAAGTTTTATTATATTTACGTTGTTTGAAATTCGGGGCACCTGTGATGATTGTAGTGCTGTGAGACGAAGAGTACGTTCCTGAAAATCTTGGTTGTGTTACTCTACGTGTATTCGTATTTTCTTTAGAAGACACCATTATTATTTTGTGCATATACATTTCGTAAATCATACAGTGTATTTCCACACATTTGTATTCATAAAGGTGGACATGAATAACCACAACCCTACAATAAATTATGCACGCTTCACCACTGTGTCAGAACCACAATATCACCATTAACAAGAATAGGAATGATACATATAAAAACATGTCCCATAACCATTTGCACCTGAACCTGTTTCACTAGTTTTCCCGAAACTTATTTGTTGTGGATCTATCTTTATACATTGAATTAACTGAAACACTGAGTAATACACGATTATTTCAATAAGCTCATATAGACAACAGCGACTAATCCTGTCCTCTTAGCGAGGCTAATCACACGAGTGAAGGGGAGCCCACTGGGGAAGTCAATCCCTTACCATAACAGGTAAGATTATTATAACAGGATCGCCCAAAGGAAGATTATTATACTACAACTTGTGACCGCCTAACAGCTACAAAAAAAACTACCAAAAGTTGACTTACCAATTTAAGATGTCCCAGACGTCCTCTTGTTAAGCACGGATCTTTTCACTATTCGCTCTCCGCTCTCAGGTTCTTTCAGCATATCTTCCTTCAGTTGCAGTAAAAGATACTGAAGTCGGGCTTGATATGTCCTTAGAATTTCAATTATTTGTTAACTATTATCACTGTCACCATTTTAATTAACACTTCCTCATGTACTGCAGCAGGTGATAAAAAGTTGACTTGATCACCACTGACGCTCTCTCTATAGCCACCATTAAGCAAAGTAATTCTCACTACAAGTATAATTGTTCCTGTTTGCTTAATTACAAATTTCCGCGAATAATAGTTGTACTGTCTCACAATTCGCCATAAACACCTTTAGTCTTTGTCGTCAAAATACTGTTCTAACCTTTCACCAAATATTTATGGGTTTCTCACTGCCCCAAACTGCATAGTTTCACTAAAAATTCTGTCTTTTTTCCACTGAACCTCAAATTGCACAGAGTTCCCTAAACACTGCACAGAGTTCCCTAAACACTGCACAGTTCACCTCATTTACTAAAACATGTCTCCTGACAACTTTCCACAGTGTAACAAAATATCAACGGATATTGAGGAATCCCAGAGGCTCTTCTTTTGACCCACTTCCTCTATAAACTGCCAGTGTAATTTTACCCACCAGTAACAATAGGGGCCGAACCATTCCATTGGGAACTTTGGACACTGACTTCGTGGCACTACCGATCGACTAGCCGGTTGACAACTGACGCCGGGCCGGTTTCTGCCGAGCGACATCGGGTGATATTGGCTCGGTTTGTTGTTGACCATTAGCCTGTCAACCGCAGGAGAGTTATTAAGGCCCTCGCAAGTGCTTAGTGGACAGTTAGCAAGTATAGCCGACCACTAAGTCCTGAATATAGTCCAGAACTAACGTAAAATATGAGTGTATACATACCGAGAAATGAGGTACACCTCTGCAACACTGGCGACTTCAGGCTCTTGCATTCGTGGACGATGACGTCACGGTTGACACACATCATGCTTCCATACAGCCATTTTATTTGTTCACTTGTCTGTCTTGCAGCCTTTACTTCATTGTAGTGAAATTTCCCAAGACGTAACTAATTACCAATGACTCTCAGCGATTTCAATCAAATTCACACTGTTGAGTTCCCATTTTAATACGCGTGCTACTTTTTATACTACCTTTTTTTCCTGATCTACTTTATTTCCATGCGTACTGATAGTTTGTGTTTAATTTGAGCGCAAGTAAGGTTTACATCTGTCAACTGATTTTGAATGGGCAATGAAATAAGATAGGTCCTTGTGTTGCAGGTGTTTGACAAACCACACATGGCTCAACTACAGATGACAAACCACGGATGACAACTACATATGACCACTCAAAATACAATACAACACACGACACAACCACAGTACACCTGAACAAGGGCACAATCACGAACGACAAAAATCAACCATATTTTGTTTCATACCGAGATTTATTAGACAGCCTACTACCTCGTAGTCGGTCACATCACTCAACGTTACGATCAATTCGTGTTTTTAATGAGGTATCGTAGTCTTGTTGACACATCATAAGTGACGCAGTCTGACAATATGGCGGACCAAATTTAATAACAAACCCATCGTCTAGAAACAAGTTTTATTGCCGTTTTACATGTTTCGTTTCAACAGAAATTCCAAATCATGACAGATTATATTTCAAAATGTTTTCAAAGTGCTTGCTTGTGATCTTTGACAATATTGTTATTTCCAGGGAAGGTTTGCTTTCAATTTATATGAAATTATAAAGTCTTTAAATATTACTGATATTCATCTTTTCAGGGGAAATGGTGGCAGTAACTTTATGCAAGGAAACAAGCCGACAGCTGGGGCTCAAGCTAGGAGGGAGGCGTACTGAGCCTGGTATTTTCGTCATGGAGGTACTTGATGGCTCTGTGGCCGCACAGGACGGCCAACTCCACCCACACGACCGCATCCTGGCCATCAATGGTGCTGATGTGCGCTATGCTCGCCTTGACCATGCCTCGCGCCTCATACAGCAGAGTCATACACATGTAAGCCTTGTGGTAAGTCGCGGGCCGGCTGTTGCCTTTGTGTCAGGCTCTGATACGACCGCCCACTCCCCTGAGTACTGGCGCAACAGTTCAGCAACTGACAGCGAGTTCCATGGATCTGCTGGCCACAGAAGTGCAAGTGACAGTGGTTGTGGTGCCATGGAATATGGGCGATCTGCTTCTTGTGATTCTCTGAGTGATCACAGTCTTGTGTCATCCATGATGTCTTCACCAAGCACCCGTTTGCCTTCTGAGGCTGGTGGCGGCGTTGGGTCTCCCTCGAGAGGTGGCTCACCCACCACTTCCTCTCCTGGGTACTGCACATCAGATACTGACGACACTGAATCCAGTCACCATCATCCTCCAACCCACCACCACCACCACCACCATCGACACTCAACTTCTGTTGATTCCCAACACTATCATCACCAGTTGCCAGCTGACCCTACTCAGGAGCAGGACCTCCGCGATCAACACCCGTCATCATCTGAACACAGTCTCCACCACGATTCCATTTCATTACCTGCTACTCCAAGAGGTGCTCGCTCACCTGAAGACTCTCTTGATATCATGGCAGGACTCAAACGCTTAATGCACACTGAAAACAATCAGCTTCAGCAGAAGAATGTCACCATTAAAAAGGTATGTACACACTAACGGTTCGTTCATTAAAAATAATAAAAATAAATGGGTGAAGCATTTACAGCGTTGTGGTTCGAATAAAATTCGTCAGTGAAGCACTTGTTCCGGAAGTGTTCGAACGAAATCAGTTGCGAGTTGTGTGTAAACCGTTTTTCATTCATAAACAGGGGGGTTTGGCGGGTGCATGGAATCACTTTTGGGTCTGCTTGGAGGACGGGCTAGTACAATACAATACTGTTCATGAAATGAAACTTAAGAATCATAATTAAAATAATAACTTTGTAATTTGCTTCATTAAGCTGTGTCTTTTAAAAATATTTACAATGTAATTTACGACTCGTTGACGATACATTTTATGTATATAATGAATGGGGGGTCACTCATGGAGGAAATAAACATCGTGATAAAACATGCGTAACTCTACGTACTGTACATATCGTAAATAATCATTTCCATTTTCAGAACACAACCTAATAGTTAAAAATACCAACTGAGAATACCATGCATCATAAAGAGAAACATTATTATATCTATGATGTACTAGTGAAGAGCAATGCGTGCTAACACATGTACATAAAATGTGTTACGGTTCATATTTTCAGATTGTAAGGGAGAGTCTGGGCATGAGGATTGGTGGTGGAGTGAACAGCAACGAGGGTGACACTCCCATCTACATTGCCAACATTAACCCCCAGGGTCCTGTCGGAAGGTGTCGAAACATCAAGGTATGGCACGATTGTGGTATGGTTTAGGCCGTGAGTGATGATGAAACTAGAGCTTGGTTTTGGCAATTGTTTAATAGTTTGAAATTAGTAATCATTCTTAATAACATGATTAATAATTGGTACACTGAAATATAGTCCTACTGGCTCATAGAGGTTAGGTTCTATTTAAATCCATTCATTTTCGCTCATATATGTATCCTGTTTTTAAAACAATTTATTCACATCCTCAATTATATTGCCAAACCAATTTTGCTTATATCATTTTTTAATAAAAATTCATCAAATTTACAACCATTGCTACAAGTTCTGAACTGTTGATAATCTCAAGGCCTTTATATATCCCTTCTAAATGCCTTTCATTCATTTGTAAATTTGAAATATATTTTTCCTGTCTCAAGAGAATGTAACCCAAGTTCCCTTACCCTGTCTTCATAAAAAAGATTTTTAATACTAGGGATTAACTTACACTTCCTGTGCTGATGCTTTCGAGAGAACCTATGTCCATACCTATTATACCATAATACACTGTATATCATTTATATATTATCCAAGTGAGACTTTACTGGTGCAAGATGCAGTATAAGAATAATACTGGTCTTTCTATTGCAAATGCATTTAGATATAAAACTAAATACTTTATCATGTTTGCCTTATTTCATGAATCGATATAGATTTAGTCTTGGTTTTAAGTCTTATGCTAATTATTTTAAGTTATCAGGATGTTTAGTTAGGCTGGAAAGTGGTTACTACAGTTGTTTGTTAAGGAAAGGGTCAATTCTAAGGCATTTGAGATGAAGTTAGGTACCTTATTTGTAGACTTGTTACCATTGTACTTTTGAATTAAAAACTGTTTCATACTTTGCTAATATATTTTTCTCACAGAAGGGTGATGTGTTGCTATCGGTAAATGGACAGTCGCTGCTTGGACTAACGCATGGACAAGCAGTTGCACTACTGAAGGCTACGGCAGAATTGATAGGCGTCACACTTTCTCTGTTAGATGGTCCTGAGACATCTGTGGGATCTGCCAACTTTGTACCATCTTGGCTGTATTGGCAAAAGTTGCCACGCTCTTTACACATCTCCAAGAGTGTTGTACTGCACAGGGCTCCTGGGGCTTCCCTTGGTTTCAGTATAGTTGGTGGCTCTGATCCCCAGCGAGGGGCTGAACCTATACATGTTCTGTTTGTAGTGCAGTCATCCCCTGCAGCCCTTGAAGGAAAGTTACGATGTGGAGACCGTTTGCTGTCAGTAGATGGCCACTCCCTGGAGCTAGTTCGCCATGCCTCTGCTGTCAGTCTTCTAAAGCAGGCAGGACAAAGAGTTAACCTTGAAGTGGTTTCCTGGCTGGGTACAGAACTGTGACCTATAATGTTTGTTTTCCTAAAGGATCTTCCTGTTAAAGGCAATATCAAACATGGATGTACCAGTAGTGATGGGCATCAAAACAGTCAAAATGTGCCTCTGGCGCCTAAACAATTAAATATAAAACTTAAAAAAATGGTATCTGAAGGAGCTAAAATGATAATGCTAAGCGTATTTAAATGGAGGAATTTATTTTTTTCAATACATAGATATATAATGTGTTCTTGCATGCTCTAGTAAAATCTGATGGTAAAATATTACTTAAAAGTGTACTTATTTCTCAAGCCATTTCTTTGAGACACCAAGTCATAATTTTAAATGCTACCTGTAAGTTAAAATTAATTCACAATATTTGTGATAATTATTTCAATAGACATTTAAATTTGTTGTGATGCATAATTACAATAACAAAATTACCTTTTCTAAAAGAATTTACATTAAAAAAATTTGGTGACAGGTAGCATGCATACACCTTTATTGATGTACAGCAGATACAGATCTGAGCTATTACACAACAATAAACAGTCTTGTACAGAACTTTATACTTAAACATCTGTTATAAATTTATTATTATATGGTAGCTTCCTAAGCAAACAATGTTGCTACAGTAATATAAGCCTACAAAACAAATGTGATGGTAAATGATAAATTACAAGAAATAAACAAATAATTCAAAATAATGTATTTTTTTAATTATGAATTGCATTGTCATCTTTGACAACGTTGATCCAAATGAATTTTTGTAGAATATCTAGAAATTTGCATATATTTTAATTTGTGGTGTTATTTCCGAGTATGAGGACAAAAGCACCTCTTATACAGTATATGGTATTCATCGGTAAAAGTGATGTCTGTCTGTCTGTAGATGGATTTCCATCAAAATGGCATTTTATTGGTTCATTCCTTTCGTATACTAAGTGAATCATTGTTAAACCTTCCCTAAACTTCGACCAAAAGACTGATTTTCTAAACGCTTATTAAACACTTGCACTCACGTGTACATGGAGCATTGCATTAAACTACCAGTCAATATGAGGCAAACCTCACTGGAACCCAAATATTTTCATTCATATCTCTGTCTAACTATGTTTCAACATTTTCCAAGGTGATACTACCTGGCAGGTTATGCAACATAAATACTGCTGTAGTATTAATTAGCTAATGCTTGCTTATGACCTTTCTGTCTTGTGTTTCGATCACATCATTTATATTCCTCTTATTATGTCTCATTCAGTCATTCACTTCAGTAATATCACCCATCATTCTGCACTTCTCAAGATAGTTTAACCTCATGCTCACCTAATAAAAATATATGATGCTGGGTATTAGCTTGATCATCCTTCTGTAAATTTCTCGGAGGATTCATGTCCCTTCTGTATTACGAGAACTAAAACTGCACAGTATAATCTTAAATGTGGTATCACTAGGTATTTTATACGACAAAGAGTGGTGGGAAGATGGGACACCACGAACGTAGCTCTCATCCTGTAACTATACTGTACTTCGGTAATTACACTTAGGTAATTACTAGGGCAAAGTTAATATTATCCCTATGATTAACTCATATTTTGTATATTAATTAACATGCAATTCTTTATTTACCACCACTTCAAAATTCCTTGACACTGGATTTACAGTAGGCCCAATTATATCTACATTGCCAGCCTGATTTCAGTCTCTCATACATTTCACAAGCTTGAAGTACACTTAAGTAGATCCCAAGAGCAAATGTGTAAAACCCTCCACTGGACATATTCTGGGCACCTTCAATTACATTATACTTGTCAAGGTGGCTACGAATGTAGTGACTGGAAAAACTGATTCGCTCTGGCCTTAATTTCCAAGCAGGATGAGATATTTGGGGGAGGTTTTCGTATACCCAATTCCTCTGATTCCCTGTCAGTAATTAGGTAATGTACCTGGAAATTAGTACTATTGTGGGTCGCATCCCAGGATTGTTCATTTGTAGGCTAGGAACACTGCATCAAGCCTAACCAGCTTTTTATGCTCAACAATTTAAAACATTCAACTAAAAGTGTTACTCACCTGATCATTTTGGGATATTTGCATCAGTTTTCTATGGAAATGTTGTATGACTTAACTTTTGCAATCATCAAGCCTAAAGACTTTCCTTCAGTACTTCTTGAGAGAGAATCTGTAAGTCTCATTACACACATGCCATAAATTTGGGTCAATACCAAATCAAATTATTTGCTTAATCTGAGAAACATGGAATTGGAAGGCAGCTTCATTCTTGCCAAAGTTCTCCACCAGTGAGTGTTGAAACAGGTCAATATGCAGTCTCTGACAGCAGGAATGCTATGAAGGGCACAATCACACAGAACACCCTAAGCATCACTAGCTGAGCATTCCTAGATAAGTTAGGGTGGGGTAGAAGACAGCTAGTGATTTGAGCCACTGCAAACCACTCTTTACATGCTGACCACTGTCATGAACTCAGTCAAGCACAGCTCACCTATGTTCATGAATTCATCCAGTAAAAAGAAAAATCTGGCTTTGAATCCGAGACCTGAACCTGTTCAAGACCCAGAAAACAAAGGCAGGCTTTTATGGATGTGTAGAATAGTTAAGGAATAAATGTAGATCACAAAAACCTGGATGTGGTGAAAGTTTTTAAGGAAAGGTTCGATGTGGCAAGTTTATGCAAACTGAAATAAAGTGAGATTTGAAAAGTGGAGCCTCGTAAATATGAGAGGGGGTAAAAATAATTAGAGGATTAATTGAAGAGTATGCCATTTAGTGAATAAAACGTCAGCTGGAGAAATAAATTACTTCTCATGACACAGTTCAAAGTACAGTACTTGTGTATGAAATTCAATTGTAAATTGACAAAGATAGCTGTAGAGATGGCAAAGGCTTTATATGATGACAAGAGAAGATGAGAAAATTATTTTATGGGGGTAGTGAAGAGAATAATGTTGCTATGATAGCAAGAAATTAAAGAATAATTATAAAAACACCTTGAGAATGAAACGATACATATAATTTAGCATCCTAAAAATAAACGATGGTGCTTTTAGACAAAGATTTACCACCAAAAAGTGCAGTCTGACACATCCACATGTCCTGGAATGTTTTTTGTTTCACCACTAGAAATTGGGTCAGTCTCTGAAACAGATTTCGTAATGATGTCTACACTTCTGAGTAAACAAGTGTTTTTTATATGATTTGATACAATGTTCATATAATTTTTTAACTTTCTTTATATAGTATCTACATTTACACAGGGAAATCACAATACTATATATCTATGAGAAAATCACTGGAGCAGAATAGGGGTCAAACAATGATTTTCTCATAGATATACTATATCATGTTATTGCAATTTCCTTGTGTATTTGAAGGGAGTGTTTGGTGGTGAACTCCATTACCTAAACCAGAGTGCATGCAAATTATATGTAAAACTTGGATAGGCTACCAGTTCAGTGCCTCCAGATTCCTAATGGATCCAGACAGACCCCAGGATATATAATTTTTACCATGTTGTGGTCCATGGGTTAAGGTGTGTATCTGGGGATACTCACAATGCTGGTTCAATTCCTGTCTTGCACCAATGATTTTATCAGTATCTCTGAGAAATATTACAATATTTTGTTCTAGTTTTTGTTATTCCTTCAATGCCCTATCATCATCTACCTGACCACTAAAAAATCATCCAGTGCTAAACCACTCCTACCATCATGGGGGGTCCATCTAATTACCCAAAGCTACTCAAAGCTTCCTAACATTATGTTAGTAATGAATAAATATGATATATTTATGAATAAATGATGATATATTTAATGAATATATATGAATAAAATTAATATGATATATTTATTCATTATAATGTTGGTGCTGAATGTAGAACATGGAAAAACATATTTTTACTCTGAAAAGGTATCATTTCATAATGAAATTAGACGAAAATAAGCTGCTGGTTATGCCAAAGCAAGTCGAGTGTGTTTGCTGGCATATCAGCCACCTGTACCTACCTAACCTAACCAACCTACCCAAACCTAACCTAACCTAACTAAACCTAATCTATCCAAACCTAACAATATAACCTGTAGGCAACAATATATCTTGGATAAGTTGCTCCACAACATTGTCGCTTGGACCGTCGACTTCCTATGGCCCCCTCATACCACTTAGTTTTGTCGAATTTCGTTATAAATTTATATTATTTCAGAGTAAAAATGTTTTTCGTGTTCTACTTTCAGCACCAACGTTATAGTGAGTAAATATATCATATTTCTTCATTATTTACGTAATACTAGGAAGCTTTGGCTAGCTTTGGGTGATAAGATGGACCACCATTAGGCACTGCTAATCAGCTGATATACTACTGTACAATGAATTACTGCTCCAATAGAATTTGATCCAAAAGAAATTAGTATGCAATGGAAGGATCCTCGTCTAATTACAGTTGTGTCCAATGTAACAGATTAGGTGCTTGGATAATCAAGAAGTTCCCACTAGGCCTGTTTTAAAGGGAGATTACATTAAATAACATTGCTTTAATTATAAAGTAACTTTTTCTGTGTGATTTTGGTATTGAAAACAAATGGATATTTTGTCACATTCAATAATTAAAAATGCGTTATCACAGAAAATAACAGTAAAGATCAGATGAACCAGGAGGGTCCAGAACCAGTCATGGTGTTTGCATGGAAATCCAGTGAGAGTAATTTGCCTAACTATCAAAGTGTAGTTATAGGATGAGGGCTATACTTGGGGTGTACCATCTTCCTTTCTTCCTTCCTTCCTTTATTCATCCTGCTCGCTCTCTCTCTCTCTCTCTCTCTCTCTCTCTCTGTCTTGCCTTATGTGCATGTGTGTGATGAGGACTCTCTCTCTCTCTCTCTCTCTCTCTCTCCCTCTCTCTCTCTCTCTCTTCTCTCTCTCTCTCTCTCTCTCTCTCTCTCTCTCTCTCTCTCCTCTCTCTCTCTATCTCTCTCTCTCTCTCTCTCCCTCTCTCTCTCTCTCTCTCTTCTCTCTCTCTTTGGGCATGAGGAAAGGGGGCATGGGTTCCAACATGCCTCGAAACATTTTACAGAAAATTAATTTAACTCTTTAGTCAATTTCTTTTGAAGCTACGTTTGGTGGGAGAGTTGATAATTTGACAAAACTATATACAGATGGTTTTTGGTGGCATGATTATTGTATGTTTTTATTTTATGAATGCCTGACTTTCTTTATTTGTGTGTGTGTAACTAATAATTCATTACAATTATGATACAGTACAGTACTGACAATCTGACTGGACTATGAATTTAGATAATGGTAAAATACATAAAAAACATAACTATATTATTCTGTACATTAATGTCTTCGAACTGTAAACGAATGCATGTTTATTAACTGTACACTTTCATGTTAATATGAAACAGCAACAATAGTGACCAAAAAACATAAGAATACTATTATTAAAATTTACAGGACTGTCCACTAAAAATGACTTGCACTCCATTATAAAATTGTGCTCTTCGACTATCATGATCACTGTTGACCATCAATGAAATATGGTCACCCACCATTACCATAATTTACCCATCAATGGTAGTTAATTCATGATTATTAAATTCTAGTAAAATTTTAAGGATAGTTCAATAAATCTTA